GAGCCTTCCAGAGACTTCTGAGGATCTTCAGTGAAAACCTGCTAACACTATGGAGGATTTGGTTGTGTGCTCAAAATCTGCAGTAGCTGTAGCTGATCTAGAACCACTTCTGATACCACATTGTCTTAGTTAGGGTTTTTATTGCTGTGAAGATACACCATGACCATGCCAACTCTTACAAGGAAATAATAGGGTGGCTTGCTTACAGTTTCAGAGGTTCAGTCCATTATTATCATGGCGGAGAGCATGGCAGCATGTATGCAGAGATGGTGTTGGAGTAGTACCTGAGAGTCCTACATCTTGCAGGCAAAAGAAGTCAACTGAGATAATGGGCAGTATTCTAAGCATAGGAAACTCCACCCCCACAGTAACATACTTCCTTCAACAAGGCCATATCCACTTCAACAAAGCCACACCTCCTAATAGTGAAACTACCTATGAGATTGTGGGGGCCAATTACATTCAAGCTACCACACTCACTGTATATCAATACTGGGTGGCCCCAAGCATGGTTCAGTTGGTCCCACCAAAAAAGGTCCAGGGCCAGACAGATTTAATGAAGAATTCTACCAGACTTTTAAAGAAGAGTTTATATCAGTACTCTTCAAATTATTCCACAAAATAGAAACAGAAGGAGTATTGCCAAATTCTTTTTATGAAGCCACAGTTACCCTGAAAACCAAAGCACAAAAAGACTCAACAAAGATTGTTACAGAACAGTTTCACTCATGAACATTGATGCAAATATACTCAATAAGACACTGGCAAATGGAATTCAAGAACACATCAAAAACATCATACACCATGACCAAGTAGGCTTCATCCCAGAGATGTAAGGATGGTTCAACATAAGAAAATAAGTCAATGTAACCCACCATATAAACAAACTGAAAGAGAAAACCACATGATTAACTTGTTGGATGCTGAACAAGTTTTTGACAAAACCCAACACCCCGTCATGATAAAAGTCTTGGATTAAGGATACAAGGGGCATACCTAAACAAATAAAAGCAGTATACAGCAAGCCTATAGCAAACATCAAATTAAATGGAGAGACAGTCAAAGCAATTCCACTAAAATCAGGAACAAGACAAGGTTGTGCATTCACACCATATTTATTCAATATAGTACTTGAAGTTTTAGCTAGAGCAATAAGACAACTAATGGAGATCAAGGGGATATAAATTGGAAAGGAAGATGTTAAAGTATCATTATTCGCAGATGATATGATGGTATATGTAAGTGACCCCAAAAACTCCACCAGGGAACTGTTGTAGCTGATAAACACCTTTAGTCAAGTGGCTGGATACAAGATTAACTAAAAAATCAGTAGCCCTCCTATAAACAAACTATAAATGGGTGAGAAAGAAATCAGAGAATCAACACCCTTTATAACAGCCCCAAATACTATAAAATGTCTTAGTGCAACTCTCACCAAGCAAATCAAAGACCTATATGACAGAACTTCAAATTTTAATTTTATTTATTTATATGTTATGTATGCGTGTTCTGCATGTATACCTGAATGCCAGAAGTGCAGCTCCAGAATCAGTCCAGGAACTTGAAGATAGGAACTGAAGCAGAAGCCATGGAGAGATATTGCTTACTCACTTTCTCTCCTTGGCTTGCTCACCTGCTTTTGCATATAAGTCAGGGTCATTTACCCAGGAATAGCAATGCTGACAGTGGTTTGGGTCCTCGTACACACATCAATCATTAATTAAAAAAAAAAATCCCACAGCTTTGACTACAGGGCAATCTCATTTTCTCTGGCCTCTTGTAAACTAAAAATTAAGTTTCATAAAATATGTACTATGGGATAACGAGGTATACAAGAAATGGTTTAGTTTCCTCCTGGTTTGAGAGGGTCCAGTCCTTCCTCTTTGCTTTATTGATTCTGGGGCTATACTGAGAGAGAACATAGTGAAAATGGGAGCATATGGCAGGGGCTACTTACCTCATGAGGGGAATGAAGCAGAGGGAATGACAGAGAGAGGCCAGGGACAATTTATAGCCCCTAAGGAGAGCCCCATGAGACTGACTTTATCTAGCCAGGACCCACCTCCTATTTCCCAACCAGCTGGTGTCCAGGCCTTCAAAACATTGAGCCTTATGGCAGGGAGGGACAAACACTATATACAAATAATGATATTACACACCTTCCTCCAAAGGCTAATGTGTATCTTGCAATGCAAAATGCATTGTCTATCTTCAAGAAATTCCATAGTCTTAGTTGAGCATGGTTCAAAAGTTCAAATTCAAAATCTTACCGGTGATACCCTATAAATGTTTTTTCTTTAAAGTTGCATATTCCTAAGAGACAATGGCACAGAATACGTGTTTTTAATAGAAAAGAGGGGAATAGTGGAATGGAGAGGTGGGGTGAGACCCAAGCAAGGCTAAGACCCATCAGGCAACCTTTAAGTCCTGTAGCTCATGCCAGGCGTCTAGAGCATATGGTAGCAATGTGAGCTCCAAAGACTTGGGCAAACACATCTCTATGGCCTTGCTAGCTACAGTTTTAAAGCCTCTCCTTTGTCTGGTGACACTCATGGTCTACATCTTTCCTTAGCAGATGTCCCATGTCCTGGCCATCTCCAATATCCTTGAGGTATCCACTGTAGCTGGGTCTTCACCTTTACAGTGTCACTTATCTGAGGTTATCTTCAGGTTGACTCTAACCCTATCCGGACATTTCCTGGTCTTCTGTCCACCTGCCCTGTGGCCAGCAAGGCCAAGTCTCTTCATATCAAAAGACATTCCAAAGACATGAGTGGAGTACCAGGACACTTTAGGCATTTGAGCTCAAGAATAGTGCAAACAAAGCACTTTTCATTTTATTGTTCAAGCAAGCAAAAATCAAGGTGATGTTTCCATCTAGCTTAAATAAATACAAGTACAGCAGGGAAATACAACTGGTGTTATGTCTTATCTTTGGTCATGTGAAAAGAGCCAAGAATAATATTCACGGGCCATTGCCTTTCCCACAGAGATAGTGTGGACATGCCAGGGTAGTCCCTTCATGTCCTTGCTTCCAAGTACATTCACTTATCATAGTTTATGCAATTCTTTCTAGAAAGCCATCTTATGAGAATAACATTTTGCACTCTGTCCCATTAATAGTTCACAATAAGTTCACAGCTTTCTTACACAGGCTCCCACAGTCTTCCATACATCTTTTTGAAATTTAGGTAAAACCTTCCATGACTAGTAACTCTTATATTTTTCATGTCTGCAAATATCATCATCATGTAGAGGATCCCAAGCTCTGCCATTAGCATAGGTCTCTTTAGAGTAGGGCTGCATTGGTTCTTCTATGCTCTAACTGCCCAGGTAGCTGAATACAGTGAAATTAATCCTAAGGAAACACCTTCTAGGTGACCCTGTGCTAGCAAGGTGCCCTTGGAGGCCCTCCTTTCTTAAGGGCAAGTATTTCAAATTAGTTTATTTATTTATTCTCTCGAGTCTGTGATGACTGGGTTCTGAACAATTCCCTAAATGCCCTCAAAGCATTTTTTCTACTGTTTCAATTCAAATCATCTGGTTTCCTTTTATCGAGGCTAATCTCTTCAACTATGCCTTCTACAGCCCCAACATTACATACATTGCTTTTCTGACTAAAGCACAAGTTTGTAAACTTTTCTGGTTTTTGCTAATTCTGGCTAACAGTAGCCAAGAATACATATAAGTAGCTTGCATGCTGCATTGTCTTAAAATTTTCTGTCAGATTAATCAGTCCATCACTTTGAAATTCAGCCTTCCATTAAGTTCTAGAGCATCAACAAAATACAGGTTGTTCTTTGGCACAATATAACATGAACAGCTCTAGTTGAATTCCCAATATAATTATCATTCTTATCTGAAACCTCCTAGCCTGGTCTTCACTGTCTTTTCCTGTAGGCATGTTGGTGTCTTATGATTTCCTACAACAATTGACCATTAAGCTTTGCCTAAAGAACAATAGGCTTTCTGGAGCTCATATCACTAAAGTTTTCTAGTTCCTCCTTCACATAGTCCCTCAAACCTAAGAACTATATGGTCGAGTTTAGTCTCAGAAATAATCCCTACCTCTCTGCGGGAGTTATCTTTCAAAGTTGGTACCTAATAGAAAAACTTAAAGGAGAAAAGATTCATTTTGTTTTATGCTTTCAGAGGCTTCATTCCATATTTCCTGTTCAATAATTCTGGGTCCATCATGAGGCAGAACAAGGCTGAAGGCCGTGTAGCACAGGTTAAGATTACCTGCTAAGATTGCATAGGATGGAGAGTAGGAACTGCATTGAAAGAGAAAGATGAAAGAGACAGAAAAAGAGAGGCCCAGAAAGAGATAAAATCCAATGAACACACCTCCACTTCCAGCAACATACTTTTCCCATTAAGTCTCACGTACTAAACTTTCCAGTACTCCTAAAGCAGCACCATCATAACCAAACTTCCAGTATGTTAGTCCTTCGAAGGGACACTTCATATCTAAACCATATCACACACTAGATAAAGAGTCACAGTAACTAAAACAGCATGGTCTTATTACAAAAGACAGACCAAGAAAGAGGACAGAGCTGCTAGAAATAAACCCACAATTTTCTGTCAGCTATTCTTTAAGAGGTCAAAATATACATTGGAAATATGAGAGTCTATTCAACAAATGGTGCTCTGAAAATACACTGCAGAAGATAGACATTTGACCATTTTCTCTGAAATTTACTAAAATCAAATTGTGGTGATTTGAATGAGAATGTCTGCAGTAGACTCACATGTTTGAATACTGGTTACCAGTTGGTAGAACTCTTTGAGAAGGACCAGAAGTGTGGTGGCCCTTCTTGGAGGAAATATGTTACTGGGGGTGGGCTTTGAAGTTTAAGCAGAGGAGTGACATTCCCAGAGAGGAGAAAGAGTAAGGAGAAAGGAGACAGGAGAAGGGGAGAGAGAGAGATGAGGAAGGAACAGACAACTATGGAGAGGAGAGAGACTATTGGTGAAATTATGAAGGCCACTCCACATAGTTAAAAGGGAGGTTTATTAGTGGCATAACTTACAAATGAAGGGATAGGTAGGTCGCAGGGTCTGGGGAAGGTGTGTCACAGTCTGGCGGTGTTCTCTGGAGAACTCTGCTCCGTCAACCTCCACCGTCCAGGGTCCAGGAACAGAGAGAGTGGGGCATCTGGATCTCGGGTCTTCAGGGCCCTCTCTTGGCCCCACCTTGTAGGCGTGATAGTTACCGAAGCCTCAATGGGAGTTGGAACTTCCAGATCAAAGCTGGAATGGCTACCCACTACAAGAGACAGAAAAAAAAAAAAATCCTGCTATCTCTATCCAAAAGCAAGCCCACAAAAGATGGACAGTCAAAAAACAGAATACTTTTATGTAACAAGCACTGTATTACAGCCCATGGACACAATACAGCATGTTCTACCACTTCTCATGTCTCCGAAGGCTGAGGGGATGCCAGAGCTTATGCCACTGCTGGGCTCTAGTGAAACACAAACATTACCATGGAAAGACATCAGAAAAGACCAGAAGCCAGGATGTTGATCCTCATTGAGTTTAATAAGGGCTCTTATTCACTCATCTACCCAGTGGAGGTCAAGAAGAACAGCCACAGGCATCTCTATCCCTTTATTTCTTCCAGAGAGGAGTAATGACCACCCTTGAGCACCAATGGAAAGATTTCCAGACTCTCAAGTACCAAAGGAGACCAACTGGGAACCCAGGGCTTCCACAATCCAGGGACATATGACACAAGATACTAAAAGCATCCAAGCTTTTACTGGAAATTGTTCATCAGTTCAGTAATTGTAATGATGCCAAGAGGAATAGATAGGACAGTCAATAAAATCCAGGACTAAAAATAAGAGAAACATGAGAACTATCAGCCATTATGCAACCACTTCAATTTAGAAAAACTAAACGAATAGTTTAGAACTTTGAAACTGAGTAAGGAAAATACTGAAAAACTCAATGAATGGGCTCAGGACAAAATTAGTGGATTAGAAGACAGGAAAGAAATTCACTGAATCTCAACAACAGAGAAAAACAGTAAAAATTTTTAAAAGTTCACTAGGTCTGTGGGACAATATAATAAGAGATAATAACATCCACGTCATTGAAGACCAAGCAGGTGAGGAATGAGGATGAACAACATCCAAGTAATGACTCGAGGCTCCCCAAAAGGTGAAAGGCATGAACCTTCAGGAGCAGACACCCAGTGAATCTGCAATACTGAAGGACACTCAATCCTGTGACGGCACAGCAGCAAAGCTGAAAAAGAAGAGGTGAAGAAAAAGATAAAAAACTGCAAAGTAGCATGAAAACCAAAACCAGCTTATTTACAAGGAAAAAACAGTTTGAATGACCTGAGTCCCCCTCCGAAGCCATGAGGATCAGAAGCAAGTGGCAAACATTTTTCAGGTGCTATGAAAGGTTGTTTTGTTTGTCTGTTTGTTTTGTTTTGTTTTGTTTTTTTAAAACATTTTTTAACCAAAATTTTGGAGCTATCACAAGTATCTTTCAGAAAGGGAAGAGGAAGTTAAAATTATCACATGAACAGAAATGAGAAAATATTTATTTCCAAACATGACCTATGAAAGTCCTCTAAAGACAAACTACTTTATGAAGACTGACACCTGAACACAGAGGGACCTAAGAAGGTAAGGTGGGAGTGAACACAAGAAACTTTCCTTCAAAGTCCTGACTGGTGGAGTAAAACTGACTCGTGGCACTTTTTGGTGTGGTTGTAAATGTATCTTGGGTTTAGTTTGTTTTCTTGTTGGGGGGGGGTTGTGGTTGTATTGACTTTTTGTTTGTTGTTTGGGAAAGAACTTAAAGTTGGGTGGGCAAGGAGGGGGAAAGGATCTGGAGGAACTTAGGCGAGAGGAAGAATACCATTGAAATACAATTGAACTTGAAAGTTGTTTTAAACAATGAACAATATTATAATGATACTTTTTAAAAGTAAATGTATGTTGGGGACATAACATAAGGAAATGAGTTAAAGGAATGGTGGAGGGTAAAGGAAGAGGTGAAATTTTGCACTTAAATTGTATTAGGTTCTATATAGAGACCAAATAATAGAACACACAGCTAGAAATATGTAAAAGGCTCACATTATCACAGCAGCTGAGAAGTCCAACAACAAGTTGTCCACAGACTGGTGATCCTGGCAGGCCAGTAGCATAGCTCAGTTTGAGTCCAGAGGCCTCAGAGCCAGGGAAACCAGGGAAGAGATACCTACAGGAGACCAAGAGCCCAGGTTCCTGGTGAGGGAGCTATTGGTGGAAGTCTTGGGATCCAAAAGCCAGCCAGCCTCCAGTTCTAGATTTTCAGGCTGGAGCCACACAGCTCTTATATGGGAGAAATTAAAGTATTTCCTATAGCTAGCTGTCTCCTCACTATTCCAGCCAACCACATGGTGCTCAAGCATACTGTGGATCTTCCTCACCTGAGAGTTGGCAGTTGTCTCTGAAAATATCCTCCCAAGGCACATATTAAAATGCTTCCCTAGATTTTTAGATGGTCCTCAATTCAGTCACATTAACATGTTGAATTAATTATTCACTGGCATAATGAGTCATCAAATAAAGTTTGGGGGAGCTCATTGATTTTACTCAAGCTCTTACACCAAACACTAAGTGGCCAAACTAATATGGAGTTTAGTCACAATAGCTAATTGTCAATTAACTGCACATGGCTCTTTAGCCAGCTGGCCACTTACTATGATAGTAAGCACATTAGCTCTAACCTCACTTCTGTTTTCTGGGAACACCACTAGGACAGGTCACATTGGTCTTAGGGCTCAGAACCTGCTCTGATTTGGGAAACTGTGAATCAATGTTGCTTTGTTTTTCTCTTTAATCCTGTTTTTCTTTGTGTAAATGAATGCTATTAAATTTAATTGGTGTAAGAAAATTTCCTTTTAACAGACTATACCCTAAGATTGACAGGTTATGTGTATATAATATCTAGAGAGGCCACTATAAAAGCTATACATGGTGACACAATGGAAAATAAGTCCACTTAAACCTTAACAGATGAATTGAATGGAAATCATTAAATAATTAAAGGACACATATCAGCACAGTGATCCATGCCAATGGGTCACAGAAAATACCTCAAGCACATGCTGTCTAGAAAAATTTAATTTAAATATAGCAATATAGTCAAGCTGCAAGTAAAGCAGAACAGATATATTTTAAAATAGAAGGCAGAGCAATAAAACTAGCCCTGAGAGACGTGAGTGTTATAGATAAAGGGGCTAGCCCACCAAGAGCACAAAGCAACCCTAAGTGTAGTCAGGCCAGAACTATATTGAAAAACTGACAGAATTGAGGGAGAGATAGTAAACCTACAATCCTCTCAACAACCGACTGAGCATTTGATTATCAGCTAAGAAGTAGATTAGAACTTGACATCACCATGGAGGAGGAGCTAACTAAAATGTATAGGCCACCACAAGGAAGAAGCAGTTCAGCACGTTCTTTTAAGGTTCCCTAGACAAACACTAAAATAGACCCTATTCTGTACCGTAATATTGAGTGTGTTTTCATGCCATAACAGAGCCTGATTAGAAGTCAGCAGGTTGGTTGGAACTACATTAGCAGCTGCCATAGAAGCAAAGAATAGGAGAGTGCCTGCCGGACTTAGGGCTTGGAGATAGAGCTTAGCTATGCGGACAGACATGCATGTGAAAGCCAGGCAGAGTAACATACGTCTGTGATCTCAGCACTTAGGATGCAGAGGCAGGATCAACACAAGTTTTCGGCCCTCCTGGGCCACATACCAGGACTTTTAGTGGAAAAGCAAAAACAAACAAACAAGCAAAAACACACAAAAATGAAACCCCCCCCAAACCAAAACCACATTTAATTAGGAACGTTCAGTTATGTTCTAAAGCAGGAGGACAACTGTAGTTAACATCATCTATTTCAAAGTACCTAGAAGAATGGTGCAGCTGAAGTTTTCTCCAGTCCTACCTAGTCCCATGGACTCTGCAGCTGCTTATAAAATAATCACTCAGAAGCTTATATTAATTAAAACTGCTCAGCCATTAGCTCAGGCCTACTACTGACGAGCTCTTACATTTAAACTCAGCCCATTTCTGTTAATCTATATGTTAACACGTATTCCATGACTTTATCTGTGTGCCATTACATGCTGCTCCCTGGACCCTGGATGGTGGGCTGGTATCTGCTGACTCAGCCTTCCTTTTCCCAGAATTCTCCTCTCTGCTTATCCTGCCTCTACTTCCTGCCTGCCTACTGGTCAATCAGCATTTTATTTATCAGCCAATCAGAGCAAGACATATTCACAGCATACAGAACATCCCATAGCAGAATGGAGTTTGGATGTTCCCAACATAAAGAAATGAGAATTAACTGAGCTTATGAATATGTAAATTACCTTGACATGTCATTTATGTGTAGCAATATTCCACACTGTTCTCTGAAAATATGAACAGTTTTATGTATGGCAGACACAAGACCCTCATGAATGTAGACACAAAAATCTGAACCCTATAGTAGCAAATAGAATTCAGCAATACATAAAGTCTAAACTGCACGTAATGAGTTTTATCACAGGAATTCTGCAGTGGTTTAGTATTTGAACACTAATGCATGTAATCCACAATAGGTGGTAACTAAATATGTAGCATCCATAATAAAGAAGCAAAATCCATCATCCTATCCACTGATATAGGAAATATATTTCAAACTTAAGTTCAAATTTAACAAGCATCTGATAAAAGTTTCCAGGAGAGACACCCCTAGCCCAACCACAGGCCATGCCTATCAGAAGACGAGATAGGCCATCCACCTCTCCCTAGACCTTCTCCACTCTCTTGGTTCCCACAGGCAATCACACCTCCCCCGCCCCATCCTCCTACTACCTCTCCAAACACAGACCAAGCCTACCCAAAGAACAGATAGGCTTCTGGTAGGCCTCTAGTCCATAGACATTTCCCACTCTCTAGCTTCCAACAGACCTAATCCTCAGTTGTCCTTCCCTGCTTTTCCCTTTGTCCCAGTCTCCAGCTCCAGCAGACAGCCCTCCCCAAACATGGGCCATGCCTGCCACAAGAATAGGTAGGCAGCCTGCCCTGCTGACCTCCTCTACTCACTTGTTTCCCCCCCCCCCCCAACACACACACACACACTATCCTCAATCCTCGTCCCCTCCTCATCATCAAATCCAAACCTGCAACTTGGGCAGAGACTCCCTGCTGGACCAGAGACCACACCAGCCACCAGAACTTCAGGCAGGCTGCCCACTCACACA